CGTCTCTACTAAAAATACAAAAATTAACCAGGCGTGGTGGTGAGTGCCTGTAATCCCAGCTACTCGAGAGGCTAAGGCAGGAGAATCGCTTGAACCTGGAGGTGAAGGCTGCAGCAAGGCGAGATCGTGCCACTACACTCCAGCCTGGCAGACAGAATAAGACTCCATCTCAAAAAAATAAATTAAAAAGTTTATGGCACCCTGCGCCCTGTGTCTCTTGCTCCTACTTTCACCGTGTGATGTACCTGCTCCCCTCGCCTTCTGCCATGATTAGAAGCTTCCTGAGACCTCCCCAGAAACAGATGCTGATGTCATACCTCCTGTATAGCCTGCATAACCATTAGCCAATTAAACCTCTTCTTATAAAGTTCCCAGTCTCAGATATTTCTTTATAGCAATGCAAGAATTGCCTAACACAATAACTGATTACTAAAATAAGGAATAAGGAGGTAGACAAGTAATGTAACTGTCCAATAATTTTGAGGCCCATACCTTAAGCCTAAAGAGTTTAATCATGATTCAGGAATAAAGGCCCACACAATATACAGTAGAAGTTAAACTGGAAACGTAAGAAAAAAAAAAAAAAGGCCAGGCGCTGTGGCCATGCCTGTAATCATAGTACTTTAGGAGGCTGAGGTGAGTTGATCGCTTAAGTCCAGGATTTCGAGACCAGCCTGGGCAACACGGCAAAACCCCGTCTCTACAAAAAATACAAAAATTAACTGAATGTGGTAACATATGCCTCTAGTCCCAGCTATTCAGGAGGCTGATGTGGGAGGATTGCTTGAGCCCAGGCGGTCAAGGATGCAGTAAGCAAGATTGTGCCACTGCACTCCAGCCTGGGCGATGAGCAAGACCCTCTAAAAAAAAAAAAAAAGAGAGAAAAAAAGAATGAAAGGAAAGAAAATCTGTAAATGCCTGCAATAGCAAGGGTGAATTTTCCACCATTTCCCCTGTGACTTTAGACAATCTCAGCACGTTGTTTACGTTGCTCTCAGCACAAGCTCTGGCCGGGGAACCGCAGGGTCCAGAGTTCAAGGTTCAAGCTCAAGAATTCAGTGTTGGACACCTGACCCAGAAGGCCTCTGGCTGTGATAGGCTCCTTTTGCCATGGAGCCCTTGCTGTGTAGGGTAGCATTGTAGACCCCCCACCAACCTCCCCACCACATAGGATGGGTACTGGTTTATACTCATTTATATAGTCAGCTCTCCACTTCAGTATAAACTTCTGAGGACAAATGGGACTTAATAAAAGGCTTACAAAGTTAATAAGTGTGATTTGGAAAGCCAGAGCCAAGCAGAAAGAGAATACCACTTCTGAATTTTATTTCATCAAGGAAGTCTTTGATTGTGATTTATATTCATGTGAGAATAACAAAAAAGAAAAATTAGCATGGCAAAAGTACAATATATTTAACCTAATGTGCTTTTTATCCTAGATATAAGAGGACACAGGGCAAAAGGAAAACCCACTTAACGTGAACAAAGTGAGCAGACAACCTACTCTTTCCCTAAATAAAGGTTGGCAGAGAAGAGAAAGAGAATAAATATAGGTAAATGAAAACTTTGGTTGGAGAAGCTGATGTATCTGGATGATAAAAACATGTTATATGAAAGAAGCAGAGAGACAGGAAGAATGACTGAAGAGAGGGAGGGAGAGAGAGGAGGCCAGGGTAGGGGGACAGCGTGAGAGAGGGGATGGAGGGGGAGAGAGGAAGAGAGGTAGGGGACCAGACCCTGCAGGGCCTCTCAGGCCATCAGAAAGATGGGGGGCTTCTCCCCTGAGTGAAGCAGGAGCCCTGGACGCAGTGGGCAGAGCAAGGGCAGGATGGATGTGGACGGTACTGGGGCAGCAGGACGCACTTCATTTGGGAGTGTGAGGAGGAGATGCGTTGACAGGGAAGTCCTCAGCACAATGACACACAGCAAGCACCAAGCCCACCACTTATGGCATGAGCCCCATTCTATCCCCCAATACCTGCAGGCCCAGAGAGGTAAAGCGCCTGCTCAAGGTCACAGCCATAGAGACACACAGACGCATAGAGACATTTGTCTAGAGGACCGTGGGGAGCGGGGCTAAGTGAGTGGGAAGTCCAGAGGCAGGTGGTCGGCTCCTGGAGGGCAGGGGTGCCGGGCAGTAAAGGGCAGAGAGTACATGGTGACAGTGCACCCCTGGCCTCTAAATCTGTTTCTTACCTAGGGGGTGGGGAAGTAGCAGTGACACCTCCTACATGAGTCATGTAGGTGGCACACACACATAGAAACAGACACACACAGATAGACACACACATACACACAGAGACACAGAAATAGACACAGACACACACAGAGACACACACAGACATACACACAGATGCAGACACAGAGACATGGATACACAGAGAGATGTCTAGAGACACAGAGACACACAGAGAGACATCCAGAGACACAGAGAGATATAGAGATACATACAAAGAGACACACAGTTACAGACACACAGAAAGACACAGACACACAGAGACAGACACACACAGACACACACACACATTCATACACACAGAGACACACACTTAAACACACATAATACATTATTAGTTAACTGAACTGCCAAATTGTCAAAATAACAAATTCCAGAACGAGCTAAGTGTTGATGAAATTCTTCCTGTAGAAATGAAGAGAAGAGGTGACACCAGGGCTAACCTACTCGGGAATAACCTGGGTAAGCTCTTCCTAAGACAGGCTGTCACAATCTTCCCAAGGAAAAAGAGAGAGAATATGACATTATGATTAAAATAAAGGGATATTTCCCTGACTTCCCACACCATTTTCCCAGGCTGAAATCGCACGGTGAGATGCACGTGCAGGGACACATTAGTTTTCACCCCACGCACCATGTGGAGGGCCGGCTCTGACCCCAGTGGCCAGAAGCCCAGAGCAGTACTCCAGCCCAGGCTCCTCACCTAAGACCTTTCATGATTCCTGCTGCCTGGGCCCACTCCAGAACTACTGATATCACTCACCTGGAGGAGACCTGGGCATGGGAACTTTAAACATCTTCACAAGGGTCCCAATGTACAGTCTCAGGTCACAAACTACTGACTTAAAGGGTCTTTCATGCCCAGCATTTGTTATGGAGAGAAAACAGCAAGTCAAGGAATCTGCATAGTGATTAGCAAATAGTGGGTGCTCTGCATATGTTCCCTGGAGGGTTGAAGCATCCAGCGTGGCTTCCCTCCTGCTCTTAGACTTGCATTTTTCCATGCATTTGCTTTCTAGCTTTGCCGTTCTTTACTCCAAGCTTGTATGCTTTTGTAAATCAATAACAATGGAGAAGATTTGCCAGCTGTTCAAGGACCCAAAGTTCAGCTTCTTTTGCTTCCTTTTTCTTTACCTATTCAAGGAACAGGAAACACCCATAAATAGCCACGGAAAGGCAATGCCTCAGTGGGGGCTGAATCTGCGAGCTGAAGCCCGCAGGGCTGAGCTGCTGAGCCCTCCAAAACCCCTTCAGAAGTCCCTAAGTTCGGCAGCCTGGATCCCACAGTGGGTTGTGGTAACAGAGAAGCTGGGGAGGCCCTGGGGGCTGATGGTGCTGGTGGGGGTGGGGGTGGTCCTGGGTTCCTGAGCTAGCTGGCCTTAGAGATCCATTAGGTCAAGGTCATGGGTACAAGTCATCCTAGTGACCTCACACTGACACAGCTACCAGGCCCTGCCTCTGAGTGTTTCAGAGAAAACTCCAGACAGAGGGGTACGCAAACGCTCCAAGGGCTGCTTTATCTAGGGTAAAAGCCTCGTGACACTCTGTGAGGGCCAGGTCAGGGTGCTTGGACTGCTGATAGGGACACCAAGGCCAAGCTCAGGGTCCCTCTGTACTGGTCCTAAGCCACAGAAGCCCCTGAATTTCTGGACCCCACAGCATCCTGAGGCTCGGCTCCCCTCCATATCATCCCCGGGACTCTGCCTGGGGCTCTCCTGGCTAGACACAGAGCAGGAGCCAGGTAGCTCTACAGCCTAAGGAAGACCCCCAGGAAACTGAAGCATGGAAAGCACTGGGAAATCCCCACTCCAGCTCTAAGCCTGCTGGAGCAGGATCCCAGCAACTGTTTCCCCAACCCAGAAGCACAGCACCTGCCCCGCCAGGAACTTAGAGAAATGAAGGCCTCCCCTAATCCCAGGATAGTAATACTATTTTTCCCCTGTTTACAGACAGGAACCCTGGGGCTCAGAGCCATTTGGTCACATGACCAGGGCCCTCTCTGCAAAAGATGCAGAGCCAAGTCCCCTGACCCCAAAGTGCAGGCCTCCCAGTGCTGTCAGAGCACCTGCATGGTGGAGGGGGCTGAGGGCTTTCTTCCCAGCCCAGGTCATCTCTCCCCACGCCTCAGCCTTGAGCATCTACCCAGGAAGGTGAGGAGATGAAGGCCTGGAGAAGGATCTGGAAGGAGCAGGTCCACATGGGGCATCAACTACTTCATTTGTAAGCTAAGCCAAGCTGGGTTTGGAGTCCAGGGGGGGGGGCCTCGAGGGCAAGCCTCTGGGCTGGGAGCCAGACTGATCTCTGCCCACTGAGGCCAGGATGAGTGTGTTCTTTTCTGCCTCCCTCTTTCTTAGAAGTTCTCCCAGCCCAGCACTTCCTGAGATTTCTGCTGCAGTGCCTAGCAGTCTTCTTAACCCCTCACCTCCCACTCCTTTCGAGGCAACCCAGAACCCAAAGGGGAAGGGTCACAGGTATACAGGTGCCCATGGGTTCCAGGGAAAGAGAGCATGCATCCGGGACTCTGGAGGTCTCTGTTTCAGCTTCATCTCTTAACCTATGCCTTAGACGAGCCACTTTGCCGCTTAGAGCCTCAGTCTCTTCAGCTGTCAAATGGAGTTGGCAATGACAACAGCCTGGTAGAGCATGCTTGCAGATGGAAAAAAGACAGACCTTGATGGGGCACCAAGCACCTTCTCTGGGCCAGGCACTGGCATTACCAATTGATGTGCATTTCCTATTCATTGTTTGCAATCACCTGGTGAGGTAGACATTAATATTTCTGCCATTTTATTGTCATGGGACTAAAGCAGAGAGGGAAGGTAATTGTCCAAGGTCACACAGCTGGCAGGTGGTAGGGCTGGGAGTAGGTGAGTGGAGGCAAAAAGAAGTCTTTCATTTGGCCTCTGATGAGTATTCTCAGCACTTCAGGGTCTTCTGGTAGACTGTGGCTCACGCAGAGGCCAGGCCTGGCCCATTCACTGTGCCTCCCAGCACTAGCACCTAGCAGGATGTCTGGTGCAGAGTCGGTACTCTGAATTGCAAGTGCATAACAGTCCAGACGTAGGGAAGGAAATTCCCTGGGCTCTGGAATGAGGACTCCCCTCCCTGCCCCAAATCTCATTTCCCAGCTCTGTCACTTCCCCACTCTGTCACTGCATGATTGCTTCTGCCTCTTGGAACCTCTGTCTCCTCATCTATAAACTACAATCATGACAATAGTATCACAAAGGGGATTGTGAGGATTCGAGGGTCAGAGGTGCATACAAAGTCCCCTTACTCCTGCAACACTTGATAAATAGTACCTGCCAACACATTATAAATAGTACCTGGAAATGGGGAACTGTCTGCAAAGGGATTTGGAAGAGGAGACCCAGTGTCTTTGGATGTGTTATGCTGCTATTGAACTTCCCGAGTTCATAGACAGAAGGAGACCTTTCCTAGGTCAGGATGAAGGTGTGAGGGCCTCAGATCAGAGGAGTGACTCACAGGGACATTTGATATCACCTTGTGGGCCAGCATGTGATGGGGCCAACCAAGGATCTGAGACACAGCTTGAGACTCGGGTGGGGTCAGCCTGGGAGCAGGCTGCCTGCCCTGGACCAGAAGGACCTGCTAAGGGCTGCCAGCTGGATTCTCAGACCAGAGCCCAAGGCTGATGCCAGCCAGGTCAGGGGCCTCAGGCAGGTCCTAGCCCCACTGCCTTGGCCAGCTTAAAGGACCTGCCAGGGCCACTCCACCCACACCCAGCTTCTTCATTCTGATAGGGAAAAGCAAGGCCCAGTGAGGGGCAGGGGCTGGCCAAGGTACCCAGCAGGCATGTGGCAGGGACCAGGATGCCTGGCTCTTGACCCCAGCCATGCCCTTCACCTGGCTGGATGCTCCAATTGAGGCCACCCTGCCCACCTCCAGTGCCCAAGAGAGGAGAGACTGTGGACAGGTTGATTTCTGCCCCATGATTGCCAGGACCAAGCTGATCTTCCCTGCCTCAGGCCGTGGCGTGTGGCCGGGCCTGGAAACACCAGTTGCACAAGTGAGACCCTACTTGGTGCTGGGCCCAGGAATAGGATGTTTGGAGCCTCGCAGGGCTGCCCACCAGGAGACCGTGAGGTCACAGGGGTGGAAACTATGTCAATCAGTGAGAGGGGTGACACAGGTATGATTCATTAGAGTAGCAGGCTGGTGTGGAGGGTTGCAGGCTTTGGGCCACACTGTCTAGGTTTAAATCCCAGCTCTACCAGGGACCAGCTGTGGGGCCTTGGGAAAGTGCCTTAGCCTCTCTGTGCTTCAGTTTTCTGGGTTCTGGAGTACTCACCCCATAGGGTTGCCATGAAGATTAATGAGATATAACCATTTGGCACAGCCCGGAGTACGGTCAGCACTCACCCAATAGTGGGCATTGTTGCCCTCCACCGTCATTGTCTCTGAGCCACGCACGTGCCTATATATGCATGTGGGGTCCCAGGGAGCTGGACTGCTTCCAAAGAGGAGCTGTCACCTCGACTCACTGGGGCAGAGTCAGCTCTTCCCTGCTGCTGCTGGTTTTTAAATTTGTATATATTTATGTATGTATGTATGTGTGTATCAGACAGGGCTTTGCTCTTGTCACCAAGGCTGGGGTGCAGTGGCAATCCTAGCTCACTCCATCCTTAAACTTCTGGGCTCAAGCAATCCTCCCACCTTAGCCTCCCAAGTAGCTGGGACTATAGGCGTGTCCCACCACGCCTGGCTAATTTTTTCATCTTTTTGGTCTTTTATAGAAACAGGATCTCACCGTGTTGCCCAGGTTAGTCCTGGGCTCAAGCAATCCTCCCACCTTGGGCTCCCAAAGTACGGGGATTACAGGCATAGGCCGTGGCATCTGGCCTCTGCTGCTGCTGTTAATTTCTTCCGGATCTTTCCAGATGACTCCATTCTGCCTGAAGTGCCTTCATTTCTGCCCTGGGCTGCCACACAGCAATCCTGGGGGTGGGGGCACTGAGGCCCATAAGCACCGATGGCCCCAGTCTGCTGGGTGAATTGGGGTCAGCCAAGAGCCCTGGGCGGTGGAGCAGGGCTTCCATCCTGGCTCAGCCTGTTGTTTGTGGCAGCCTCAGGCGGGGCATCTCTCCCCTTGGGTCCTCCACATTCTCTGTGGTAAGGTAGGGGATGATCTAAAATAAGATTGTGATCTCCACTGGCTCTTTGATGGCGGAGACTCCGTGATTCTATTTTTGTTCTTCTGTTAATAGCATCGTTACCCTCACAATAGTGAGCACTTACTGAACACCTGCTATATGCCAGAGACTGAACTTGGTGGTTTGTTTCGTGGTAGCTATCAGTTACTGCATGCTTGGATCCACCAGCCATGAGCACGAGGCAGAAGCATCTCATTTAATCATTACAGCTCCCTTCTGGGGAGGAATTATGATCATCCCCGCCATAAGGAGGAGCAATGAAGGTTCCACATGATGAGATGCCCTCATTCTGCCAATTTGGACATAATCACCAAGCCATGACCAAGTCCCTACCACTCTGTGAGGGAGGAATTTTCATCTCCCATTTACTGATTAAAGAAAAAACCCGCTGCCCAGAGAGGGGCAGTGACTCAGCCCACATCCCACTGTTTGAGATGATGACCTCTGAGGACATTTGGCCTTGACTTTCTATCTTCTTTGATCCTGCTAGTCTGTGCTGAGGCTTCGAAGAAATGTGCCTGGGCTTTGTAACTCTCAGTTCCTCCTCAGAATTCCTGTTCAGTTACTCTGGGCCTACAGTGGACTCCAGGTAACTAAGGGTCTAGCCTTTGGCCAGAGGTCTGACCACCAGATAAACTTGAGCCCTAACTAGGGAAGAACGGCACAGATCACGGAAGGTCACACCCTCTCCACTGCTGCTCAGGCAGGCGGTTCATCCCACCTGGGCCACCTGCTCTGTGCTGCACCTACGTTATCCTCTTTGTGGCCTGGGACAATTTGCCGGCTTGAGATGAGGATGTTCATTTTGTGGACAAGGAAATTGAGGTCGAATGGTTTATCCAAGCAGGGAATTGTTGACGGGTGCCCCAGGCAAATCATATTATCAAGGACACTTTTTAAAATTCCAGCAGACTGGAGAGAGTGGGGTGTTTTTCCACTTTTGGGTAAGGAATTTGGGCTTTAGGCTGCAGGCCCTGCCTTTGGCCAGGCAGAGGAAGAAGTCGCATCAGAGATGCAGCTATGGTTCGAAGGTCCCTCCCTGAGAAGCCTTTTCCTTCCAGTGGCAACCATGGAGGCCAGCTTCCTTGCTCTTTCCAGGCCTCTCTTATACTCACCTTTTACCCCCAAGGGCAAAGAAAAGAGGAAGCCACTGTTTGCTTTCTGAAGGCCCAGGCAAAGTGAAAATAAGAGCACCCATGTGAAGGATGGTGACTCATTCTCTGACGGAGAGACCAGGCCAAATAAAGCAGAGGGGCCTTGGGAAGACCTGGGCTTTCATTCCTTTTGGGACCAAAATGAATCACTGATCTCATTAAGTCACACCGGCCAGTCCCAAACTTTCCTTGGTAGAACCACTGCAAGCATCGAATCTTAGGTGAGGCCCCATCAGTGGGCACTAGCAAGAGCGAAAAGGCTGGGCTTCTCCTCTCTCAGGAGGCCAGACAGGTCCTTGTTCTCTTTGGAGCAAAGTGGAAACTGGGACCAGAAGAGTCAGGTCAGGGACAATGCCTCAAACAAGACCAGTCAGCAAAGTGGCAGCCCCTACCTAAGCACGCTAGTGCTTTGGGACACCATCCAACTCGTCCACTCATTTGCCCATGGGTTCAGGCTGGTAGTCAGCAAGCACTGACAGCATGACCAGCTGGTGCCAGGTGTTCTACGTGCCATTTCTTCTCTAGACCTTGCATCAGAGGAAGAGGAGCCTCAGTTCATAGACAAGAAAACCAAGGTGACTGGGCACGGTAGCTCACACCTGTAATCCCAGCACTTTCGGAGGCTGAGGGGGGCGGATCACCTAAGGTCAGGAGTTTGAGACCAGCCTGGCCAACATGGTGAAACCCCATCTCTACCAAAAATACAAAATTAGTCAGGTGTCGTGGCAGGTGCCTGTAATCCCAGCTACTTGGTAGAATTGCTTAAACCCGAGAGGCAGCGGTTGCAGTGAGCTGAGACCGCGCCATTGCACTCCAGCCTAGGTGAGAAGAGCAAAACTCTGCCTCAAAAAAAAAAAAAGAAAGAAAAAAAAACCAAGGTACTGGCCTGGCTCACACAGCCAGGAATCCATCCCAGAGCTGGCTGATCCCAAACCTTTCTTCTTTTGATGCTTTCTCTACAGATACCTACTCTTCATCTGCAGGCACTGAAGGCCCATTTCACACATTGCCATCTGGGTTGGTCTAGGAGGGCCTAGAAAGCCAGAGATTTTTCTTGACAAAGCAGCCTGGGTTATTTCAGAGGAGGAACCTGCTGCAAAGAGAAGCAGAAACTTGGGCCCATCCTCCAGGGCCTCAGCACTCCAGAGGCCAGATGGGTGAGCCTGACGTCATCCACCAAGTCATGGCCCCATTCCAGGCTGTGCTCCGCTGGCTTGCGAACCCTGTTCCTCCATGCTCTCTCCTCCTCCCTTTCCTCGGCATGAAGGAGACTGAGTGGTGCTGGCAGCCACTTCCCAGCATCTGGCGGAACATTCTGCCCCATAGTTGAGCTCTTCTCACTCCCCAGCTTTCCCTAGGGATGGCCGGTGACTCATATTTCCATTTTCAATGTTGGGCCAGGAGCCCGATCTTTCCATGACCACCAGCACTGGCTATATAGTGTACGATGTGATATCAGATAGGTCCGAGTTCAAATCCTCCTCTGCTGCTTGTTGGCTGTGTGATTTCAGGTAACTAACTCACCCTCTCTGAGCCTCTGTTTCCCCATTTGGAAATGCAAACCACAATGATCGACTCTGATGTCTTCCTTCTTGCAAAAGTCCCTTCCCTTTTGTCTGAAGCTCTGAAAAATGAACCATTCCCTCTATCAGCTTTCTCTTTTATATATTCACCTTTCATAAGCCAAGGAAAGAGGAAGCTGGTATTAGAGTTTTTGAAATGGAATAGTAATATTTATATGCCATTTACTATGTGTAAAGAATCTATTCTCAGGTGTTATTATTGGCCCCCAGCCTGGAATACAGTGGTGCAATCTCAGGTCACTGCAACCTCCGCCTCTGGGGTCCAAGCGATTCTCCTGCCTCA